CTCCTGGGCGCCGGGCGTGCCGCGGTTCTCGGGTACCTGGCCGGGGACACCTCCGGGGCCTTGAGGGCCTTGAGGACCACGAGGGCCGGGGGGTCCAGGAGGGTAGTTGTAGTTGTTCCACCCATCAGGTCCAGGAGGGAAACCTTGGCCGGGAGGGCCGGGAGGAAACCAGCCTGGAGGAGGGGGGTAAGGCATGCCGCCCATTCCAGCACCAGGCACACCGGGGCCGCCGCGCCCAGGGGCAGGTCCCCATGGCCCAGGAGGCGGGTAGAAGTTGTTTTGGAAAGGAGGTTGACCGAAGCCGGGTGCCGGCGGCGGTTGGTTGGATCCTTGTCCAGGACGAGGGCGAGCCTGAGTTTGGAACGTGTCAGCTATGTCCAGAGACGAAAGGCATGGGCATATTCCAAGACAGAGTAGAGCCGTGAGTCAGAAGGAAGGCAACGGAAATTTCGACATCGTTTTTGCGCTTTTCCGACAAGACGATTATTTTTACATCCGCAATACTTCATCATACAGGCGTTGTCAAGGAAGGTGGGCAAGATGGACAAAACTTACGTTGACAATGGCCGGGTCCTCGGGCATAGCAGGAGGCTTGTTCTCCTTGATAGCCGGGTGGTCCTCGATCCTCAGGTCCTTGACATCGCTGCCGCGGAAGATGATGTAGTCGTAAACCTGATCGGAAGGTGCTATTTCTTCTTCGGGTCTACTCCTCCGACCCTCAGTGCCGAAAGAGCGGACATTTTCGAGCGAGACGGTGGACTCGTCCGAGTTGATCTCGTGAAGAACGCCGACATATCTAGAGGCGATGAGCAAGGGGACTGGGGAGCAACGTGGACGTCCACCAAGTCCTTACCGAATGTCGCTTTTGGAGATGAGGGAGATGCGAGATCTAAGAAGGAAGTTAGCGAAATAAGTAAGATTGCGCGCATTTAAAGACGCGATGGGAGTGGATCGGGGGCGTGGTGGACAGGTCTCCGTACCCTAAGAATTCTGACATCTCGGCTGTGGGAGGGGTCGCGTAAAGCACGCAACGAAGCTGGTAGTCGCGACTGCGGAACGATGGAAATGGAAAAATGAAATCAAGTTGCGATTGATGCGCTGCTGGATAGAATGAGGAAAAAATACAACGCGGGAGGAGGATGCGCAATGGTATGGGGGGGATGGAATCGGGGGGGTGGGAGTGGTGTCGAGAGGAGTAAAGAGGCAGGAGAGCGAGTAGGGGAGGTTTATTTGTGTGGAGGAAAGATTTGACCAGGACGGACCACTGAGCTGTGAAAGAAGCCTGGACGTGGAGTTTGAAAGGACAGAGAAAGCGAGAGGCTGAGGTCTCCACCCCTCACCTGGCCGCATTGGGACGGAGCCCTCCCACTGGCTGCTGCCCGCCTGGCGTGAGGGTCCGGCTGAACTCCGGATCAATACCTTACTTGCTTGAGCTCTCAGCTCTTGCTCCTTGGCTGAGTGCGGGGAGAGCTTGCCAGCTACGGATTACCTCACCTCACTTTGTACTGAAGCTTGTCTGAGGACATTGATGTCCACGTCGGTCTTTGAGAAAGCTAAGGCGCCGCTGCTTTCAAACAGACAAATGCCGGAGGCCACCTCACCATAAAGCTGAAGGCTCTTCCAATTGCGCTGACTTTGCACTCATGCCAAGTTTGCTAGATGCGCCTCTTCTTTGAGGCTATTCTCGGCCTGACTCAAATTCAACTTCCCTTTCTCAACCCACACGAGCAAGTCAGTAGAAGAGGATCAACAATTGTCATCAACCACTCAAAACCGAGGGAAATGTTGCTCTCATTGCTACGTCGCTAAAATTCCGATATATGCCAACCCTGAGCTCAATAATGTCGCAAACCCGTACTCCCTGGGCCATCCAACCGGCCACTCACAATCAAACCGTTCTCGCTCCGTGGCGCTGATACGCCTATTCTGGGATGCTCTGTTAAGCATATAGCCCCTTCTTTTGGCTGGGATGTTGCTGGTAAGGCCGCTTCTTTCTGCTTAGATGCTGCTGGTGAATCCGCTGCCAGTCAAGCCAAGCATCGTAAGAATTCTGTTTGTATCCAACGGTATTTTGCCAAAGCATGGTTGCTCGCCCATCAACCAGGTACCATCCATGTTCCTCCCATCCCCCTCTTACATGTTCCTAAACATATCTCTCAGTGTTCTTCTCGTCGTCCTCGTCGATCAAGTCCTTGATCAGCTCTTGGCACCGCTTAGGAAGCTCTTTGAGTCTGATCTGCTGATCGTCTGAGGCCGCCGCGTCCTTTTGTGCGCCGTTTGATTTTCTGGAGTCTATTGGCTGAAACTCGTTTCTTTCGTCCAGGGGAAGAATTTGCTTCTTTCCTCGCTCGTTTCTCCTATCTCCATGGTTTTTGAAGTCGTTAGAAGTTGGCCAGTCTCGGAGGCCCTTGGTGGAGCCGGCATGCCAGTATATTTGCGCGGAGCACCTCGGGAACAACTCGCGCGATAAAAGCTTTTCGCAGGGCAGAGACGTATTCTTGTTGTTGCTTATTCGATCATCCCTTTCCTCTTTGTCATGCTGCTTCTTCCACGCAATGTGTTGTTTGGCTCTTTGCAAATTTTCTTCTCTGAGGATCATGTATTCCGAGGCAGTTCGGGGGACACAAGGAGAATTAGCCATGCGCCTATATTTCATCTGCTCCATTCCCTTCCCGAACATTTTCATCTCATTGTAGTCCTTGCTAGACCACGTTTTGGAATTCGGATGCGCGACGGCTGGGATTACCGGTTGCTGATGTGATCTGCCGAAATGGTTCCGGTTCACTTCCTTCTTTCTGTGAGCAGCAGGGCCAGTCGGAGCGTTGGGCGGTGGCCGACTGTCTTGGTTCTGTCCGCGAAATCGATCGGCTGCCGGCCCCTTAGGCGCATTGGCCGGAGGCCGGTTTGCTAACGATCGTTTATAGGCATCTCGGTCAATGTCGGTATCGCCATCAAAATTGGAAGGCGAGCTAGACCAAGACCTATGATGGGCTGAAATCGGAGAGCTGTCGTCCTGGTGGCGCTCGAAGACTGGCGTGGAGGCAGCGGCGATGGTGTCGGGATTACTCTGTGGCTGGGTCATGACGACGTTGGTATCCGGCAAGCACGCGTCCGGATTAATATGGGCGACGCGATCTGGCACGAGATCGGGGGCCAGTGGTGTGATTGGGAAGGGAATCCGTATGGATGGGTGCTACCGCTGGCCGACTCCCTTCGTTCTAAAAGGGCATGCCGAAGTTGATGGATATTGATACGATAAGAAGCGAATATGTCGACTGCGAGGGTAAGAGGTGGCGAATAAGGATGGAATGGAACGTCGAGGTAAGCCAGCGCGTCGCGCAGAAAATCGATGGACGAAAAATGATGGTAACGATGAGAAAATCCGTCGGTGATGCGGGCGGATTCAGAGCGTTAGGTGTTGATGCGGAGGAAGTTCGACGGAAACCTGGGGGTGTAGATGTGTACCTACCTACGGACAGCCTTGCAGAGCGTCTGCTTTATGCAAGGCAGCTACGAGGCAAGAGGTCGTCGCAAAGGTTACTGGCGAAGCGAGCGAAAGGCAGGTCCAGGACCGCTTAAACAACCTCTTCGACTCGGACCAAAGCCGACCTCAGGGTGAACACTGAACATAACCCAGAACGCTGGACTATTCCGTACGTATTCTGCCCCTGAGACTTTCCGAGCGAGACTTCCAGAATATTGATCGAACCCAACAGGACGCAGGAACTTGTCTCGACTACCTAGTTCACTTCGGCCGAACAAGGAAGGCGACGATAAAGAAGTTGTTCCATGGGCTGAACACATCCAGAACACGACCCAAAGACCAGCAAGACTCATTTAAAGCCACTTGTTTCTAGTCACAGAGGTACACGGAACACACTTTCTCTGGCATAAGTTGGGCGGCACAGTCAGGAGGAGGTTGGTTTGGAAGCGCAAAACAAGATGATTATGGACAACCCTTGGAAATGCACGCAATTATTTTGCGCACAGAATCGCGAACTTGTACAAATCTGACTAGGGCAACTTTGTGTTTTCTGCTTGCAGATTCGGCAAGGTTTCGAGGGGGGGGAATCGTTAGGGAATTCGATCGAGGCTGGGGAACTGTTGCATGGAGAAGTCCACACTGATGTCGTCAACACGCGGCACCATTTTGTCTGGCTTACGGTCATTCGAAGGTGAAAAAGGAGGCTGTTTTCTTGGGTCCGTGATTCTGATCAGTCAGGGTGCGCAAGTTGCAAGAGACAGTCCAGCCCCTAGGGGTAGGTGCTTTTTCCGCAATAGAGGCACACTTTCCTGCACCTTCCTACCTATCCATTATACCGGCAGAGTACCTACTGGGAGCTTTCAGTCTCATGGTTTCAAGGTCATCATGAAGGTGCCCAACTCAGCGACAGTCTAAGATGAGGCTGACATGTAGATCCCACATGCGGCGTCGTAGGTTCCACCGCCGAAGGCCACACTGAGATTTTTCGCCCTCTCGACCTCAATTTTTTCTTCGAACTCCGTTAAGACGTCTTTTTGATGTCGTCTATCTAGACCAAAGACCAGATAATCGAGATTATTTCTAATGTTCATTGTGGCCCCTATTCGTAACTTACGCTAATCTCATGAAGTAGTGCGGCTTCTTGTGGGCCGGGCATGTATGAACTCGTTCTTTGGATTTTTTATGTACATACACATAATAGATTACCTATTTGAGTCTATAAGCCTCTTTTTTGTGCCTTTTGAAATGTTCACCGTGATCAATGAGGTCGCGATGCCCTCAACCCTTAACAGTTGGTTTAACGCATACATGTATTAATTGAATAGGCGGGATAAGTGCGCTTTCGGTGCGACCCCACACAAGCCGAGGTGTCCATGCAACGGCCGTGCTTCAAGCACTGCATGGTTCCCAACGAATTCGAAGGCCCCCTCCAACTTCAAGACAATCCTTCAACCCTACCACAAGTGCAGCTCGTACACACCGCACTCCAACACTTCTGGGGGGAATAATCACCACAATGGCCGCCAAAATTACGCTCAAGTTGAGCAGTCGCTGTAAGTATTTTCCTTCTGTCTCCTGTTCTGAGCAATTCGCAGACTAGAAGCCCCCCTGTCTAAAAAGAAAAATAAACTTACACGTACCAAATAGCTCCCAAGCAGCCCGTCAAGAAGCTCCCCGAGTCGATCGAGATTTCCCCCGACACCACTGTTGAGGATGTCAAGAAGCTCATTGCCCGTGAGACGGGCTTGGGCGACTTCAACCGCGTCGGTCTCTTCGACCCTGCCACGCAAAAGACTCTGAAGAACCGCAAGGCGCAGATTGGCACCGAGGCCGCCGTGATGTCCGCAGGTCAGGTTCTCGTCAAGGATCTCGGTACGTTAAAGCTTCATTAACCGCCCCCAAAATTCCCAATTGCTAACAATTGACCACAACAGGCCCCCAGATGGCATGGAGCACCGTCTTCGTTATCGAGTACCTCGGCCCCCTCCTCATTCACGGTGCCTTCGTCGCCCTGCGCCCATACATCTACTCCGGCGCCTCCAACAAGTCCCTCTCCCCGACCCAGCTTCTCGTCTTCGCCATGTTCCTCGGCCACTTCATGAAGCGCGAGTACGAGACCCTCTTCGTCCACAAGTTCTCCGCAAACACCATGCCCATGCGCAACATCTTCAAGAACTCCTTCTTCTACTGGGCCTTCTCCGGCCTCCTCTGCGCTTGGCACATCTACTCCCCGACCTCCCCGACCGCCCTCGCCCGCAACGACGCCGTCGACGTTCTCGGCACAATCGTCTTCCTCTTCGGCGAGGCCTCCAACGCCCTTGTCCACCTCAACCTAGCCAGCCTGCGCTCCCGCGGCGGCACCGAGCGCCAGATCCCCCGCGGCTACGGCTTCTCCCTCGTCACCTGCCCCAACTACATGTTCGAGATCATCTCCTGGATCGGCGTCGTCATCGCCTCCCGCAGCTGGGCCGTCCTCCTCTTCATCGTCATCGGCGGCGTTCAGATGTCGCAGTGGGCCAAGGGCAAGGAGCGCGCATACCGCAAGGAGTTCCCCGAGACCTACAAGAAGAAGAAGTTTGTCCTGCTGCCCGGCATCTTCTAAGCGCCTCGTCAGGTGCGAGCCCGAACTATGAACAAAGCATGCCTGCCCTGGCCAGGTGATAATACTGGCGTTCTGACGAAAAGTTATGAGATGTATTATGAAGTTCATACAAGACATGTAGACCAATAATCCAGGCGCAAAGTCGTTACCGCTGCATCCGCGTGTATCTCGTCTCGTAAAGTGTCATACGTCGTAAAGTGGTATCGTGTCCCGTTCAATCCGTCCTTCAAAGCGTCGAGATAGAGGTCGTCTCAGACCCCTTCGCATTACTCGACCCAGCCTCAGTAACACTCTGACTCGCCTCGGAGCAATTTTCATGGCTCCCATCCAGCTCCATCGCCCCCTCAACCTGCTTCCCCTTCCCTTTGCCCTCCTCGCCCTCTCCCATCCTCACATCCCCATCCTCACTGCCGCTCCAGCTGCCGCTTCCACTCCAACTCCCGCTCCCGCAACTCTCGCAGCTCCCCTCCCTAACCAACCGGAACGTCTCCTCCAACACCAGGAAATCCCTCTCTAGGACCTCGGCCCAGTTCTGCACGTTCCCGAGCTCCTTCACCCGCCGCGCCGCGTCGACGGTGAACTTGGCCAACTTGTCGTTCTCCTTCCGCAGCGCGTCCGTCGCCTTGACCACGTCGCGCTCCTGCTTGTCCAGCGCCGCCGCGTTGGAGTGCAGCATGCGCGCCCGCGTCTGCAGCTCCCCGTCGAGCATGTTCCCGATGGACGCCACCACCGCCGCGCGCGCCTCCGAGATGTGCTGCTGCTGGTCCTCGGAGGGCAGCGTCTGGTGAAGCTGCTGCTGCTGCGGAGCAGGGCCGGGAGGACCCCCAGAGACGGACGTGTTGCTCGACTGCGACTGCTGCGGGCGCGCCGCGCTGGAGACGCTGAGGTGCTGGGACGTCGTCGCGGTGCTTGTTGACGACGCCGGAGCCGGGGCCGGCGGCGGTGCAGGGGTCCTCGCTGCGGAGGACGAGGATGAGGAGAACATGACGCCGGGGTGGGTGGGCCGGTAGGAGGGACTTTCTTCTTGTTACTTCGCACGCGTGCGCGTTGGTAAGCAGAGATATCCGAAGTTGCCGTGCCGCGATATGTAATCAAAGGTGCGCGAAACGTCCCGGGTGGCTGGACGTTCGCGAGGCAGAAGAGGAGGGGAGTTGGATCTAAAGTAGTCCTACCTATCTAGATCGGGTAACTCGCGGTGTGGACGAATCAGAGCTTGCGGGGGAGCTCTGGCTGACAAGTCCGCATGGTGGGGTCGTCATTAGTGGGGCCGGGACCGTCCCGACGGCCCCTTGATATCGGTACCGTGGGGCCTTGTACGCTTCCTATCAGCTGTTTTAGCGTGCCTTTGTATGATTTCACAGAAATTTGAGGGCTTTGATTAAGCATAGGAAGTACGTCGCTTTGTCTGTTCCTTCATTTTTCAGACACCTCACGTCAGCACTTGCCGTTGCCCGAATGCTGTCTGATGGAGCGTTCCTGATTTACCTAGGAAGGGTCAGCAAGCCAGACAGGAAATGGCTAGACGACAGCCTCATTACGAAATTTGAAGCTTGTCGGCCTTGATTACACGTCCTATTCAGAGCGGGGTCGTTGAGGAGCACTCAGGTCGAAAGATCATTTGTACTTCGGTGTCTCTCATTCAAGACAGTAGACAGTGATCAAGAATAAATAGAGGAGAACTGCCCGCGGGAATACAGTATTCTTGAACTCTTCTATGCATTAGATCACCATTTACTCTTTTGTTTAGTCAAAGTTACTCTTTTGGCTCTTTAAGAAAAACACATACAACACCGCCAAGATGGTTTCCCTCTACAACGCCTCCATTCCCATGATGATCAAATACCTGGGGAACCTCAAGCTCATCCTCACCAAAGCCGAGAAGCATTGCGTCGACAAGGACCTCGACCCCCAAGAAATGATCAAGTTCCGTCTCATCGCAGACATGCGAGGGTCCGTGATCTCCCTAACTATTCACCTACCTGCCCATCCACCTCCTCCCCGCAAAGCCCACCCCTGACTAACATCACCCCGACCCACAGCCTCGACTACCAGGTCCAGTCCTGCTCCAACACCGCAAAATTCATGGCAACCCGCCTCGGCAAGCAGGAGGACGTCTTCTTCGCAGACGACGAGACGACCTTCCCCCAGCTCCAGTCCCGCGTCGACCGCACCGTCGACATCCTCAAGGCCATACCGCCCGAGTCGTTCGAGGGCAAGGAGGACGCCGAGGTCATCCTCGAGTCCAAGATGGGCGACTTCAAGTTCACGGGGTACACGTACGCGATCCAATATGCGTGCCCCAACTTCCACTTTCATCTGGGCTCTGCGTACTGCATCTTGCGCCATTTGGGCGTGCCCTTGGGGGTATTTGATTACCTTGACTCGCAGAAAGATTTGTTCATCAAGGTGGACAAGGCCTCTTCCTAGCATAATCGGTAAGGCCTGGTAGTCGCAGGGTAGAGAGACTCATGAGGAATTAGCAATCCTTCAAATTCCACTTACTTGAGTACTTCAAGGTTTCGGACTGGATAAATGAACAGTAGAAGAAATGTGTGAAGAATGGCAAATCAAGCTATGGAATCTATGAGTTATGTGAATAGGAACGTTATGAAGCATATTACTATTGTCCCAAGTTGTCTTGCTCTCGCGCCCTAAGACCTACTCCTTGCCAAGGCTCTTACGGGCATTCATGCGCTCACTTTTTACATTCATGAATGTTTACTTTTGCTGCCTTTAGCCACTCTAAACGTCTCTCTCGCTCATGTTAGTAATTCGTCCTGTTAGTCCTTGCTCATTGCATCATGCAGTCTGAACCTCCCGGTAGTGTTTGCTAACCCATGTCTCTGCAAAACTAAACAGGTAGACTTTTCCGGAGGGAACTCGTCAGAGCGCGACTACACCATTTACCATTTGCCATTTTCTTCTAGAACTTCCAACCAGCAGACTCACAGGCGACGTAGCAACGCGAAAACGAGATAGCGCCATTTATGTTATTCTCGTCCCCTACGCTGTTTGATCTTGCGCAGGGGATACAGTCCGTTGCGTTGACAGCGTCCGCCCCTAACTTTAACCCGGAAGGAAAATTTTCCGCTAGCCTAAACCCCCCCTAAAACCCCCTAAACTTCATACCTTTATAACTCTATACGTGCGTAATACGCGTAGCTAAAAATTTAATTAGTTAGTCTACTAATTAAAAGCTATTTAATAATATATTTTTTATTTATATATACTACGTACGTATAAAGTTATAAAAGTATGAAGTTTAAGGAGTTTTAAAGGAAGTTTAAACTAATAAATACTAAATATAATACTAAAAAGGAAAAACGAAACCCCTTATACGTAACGTCTATACTATTTACCTTAAAAACCCCTTAAATTAACTTAAACTTTATATTTTTATAACTCTATACGTATATAGTATATATAAACAAAAAATATATTATCAAATAGCTTTTAATTAGTAGACTAATTAATTAAATTTTTAGCTACGCGTATTACGTACGTATAGAGTTATAAAAGTGTAAAGTTTAGGGTAATTTAGTGGTTTTTAGTAAAAAGCCCCTTTTTTTGCCTTTTGTGGGCCGAAAATTGGGGGGCGGACGCTGTCAACGCAACGGACTGTACCAAAAGGTGGAGATCACCACGGAGTTCTAGACGGCAAATACGAAAAAGCCGAGCAGACCGTGTAACGGGACGAACGGCACAAACTACCTCCTCGACTCATGAGATGCTTTACAGATTGTAGAAATATGCGTATTCAGACTAGCTCGTGCTAGAGAAAATGCTAAAATAAGTCTCTTGGCCGGCCCATAAAATGCCTAAAGTGGGAAGACAATACGCGACCGAGAGCTCGGCAAGCCAAAATCCCCGTCCGCCGACCCTGATTCGACTATTCTGATCTTTACATGGCACCCTGTACTGTGCTTGCTCCTTGGCCGGTACAGACAGCCCTACGCATGATCTTGTTCCCCTTGATTTATCTTCAACCTTCGTGTTGCTATGTAAAGACTAACTTTGATGACACCGCCTCTCTCATTCTATTTGACGTGACTGCCCTGTGACAGCTAGACAGTTGAAAGTCACGAAGCAGCTTTGCTGCTTCCTGTTGACTCAAGAAAAGACGTATAAATGTTCTCAAGAGGACCAAGGGTTGGTCAGTTGGGCTAATAGCAACAGGTCTTCAGTACACTCTTTAGGCTCATCAAGCCGATTACGCCAATAGCGCGAATTACATTCATTATCACTGTCATTCCTTTTTAGATCTGTCTTTCACTCTCGAAATGAAGTCATTGCTATACTGTGCCGCCCTGGGCGCCACAATCTCGGTTGCCTCTGCAGCCCAGGTAGACTGGGTAAGTCCCCAACAGCGTCGCACAACCACTTCACCGAGGTTGACAACATGATTGTAGACAGTCGGCATGCGCATGCATGCGTTCATGACCAAAGCAACGCAATGCCCCGAGACCTACGCCGACGCCGCCGCAAACTCGACATACCTGCCGGTCTTCTCGACTGACAAGAACGTCGTCGCGGGCGCCGAGCAACCCGCAAACGCAGGGAAATCATTCTACTTCACAAACGGCTTCCACACCACAGCCGGAGAGCGCTGGGACTCGGCCACCCGCACCGGCATCCAGAACGCCGAGCCCGTCGCGGCGGGCGGGGGCTGCTGGTCCATATCAGACGACCAGGGCGCCACCATCACAACGACGCCGTGCACGTACGCGGACAACCAGACGTTCTGAGTGGAAGCCTGGCGGGCGCCCGCGGCGTCGGGGCCCTTCCAGATCGTCAAGCAGGGCCTCGACCGGTTGGCGGTCCCGGCCAACGCGGGCGACGCCATCGGGTGGGCCGAGTCCGACGACGTGTCCGCCTTCTGCTTCTACGAAGCCGAGTCCGGCAGCGTCGTCCAGTCCAGCGAGGCGCGCACTGAGGACCGCGCGTCTACCATCGCCGGCGCGGCGATGCCCGCCGGCCCCGTGGACCTGATCGAGCTCCCCGGGTGTATGGCGGACGACGTCACCTACGCCCCGCGGAGCATGGACTGCCTCGTCGCAAAGACCGCAAACACCGTCCCGTCCAACTGCAGCGCGACACCCCAGTCCCGGGAATGCGTGCTGCACCTCTTCCCGGCCTTCTGCGGCGACCTGACCAAGACCGCGGGCCCCAACTCCACGCAAGTCGTCGCTGACGATGCCATCGAAGGTTGTTTGAGGCGTGTAAGCCAAGGCCCCTGCGTCGCGAACCCCGCGGGAGCCGCATGCCTGCCAGGCCTGTTTCCTGGCATCGTCTTCGCGACCGGGCCCCCGCCATCCCAGTCCGCATCCCAGCGCCTGCGCCGGAGCTATCCGCGAACCTCCCTCCATCGACGCCATGAGCTCCTCCTCCACGGCCGCCAGAACGCCAGAGATCCCCTCTTCGGAGACCCCAACGAGAGCTGGCTCCCGGCCGAGGACCAGTTCTGGGTCGGCTTCGCAAAGTCCATCATCAACTCGGCCGTCGACTTTGTGACGCACTTCGACGACGACTTGCGCGAGTTCCAGGTTACGCTCTGCCATGGCATGGTGGCCATCGTCGACGCCCTCAAGGGCGACCTCGCGCCCCGCGTCAAGAAGGGATGCGACACACTCTGGCGCCTCCACACCGGCGAGGCCGTCCCCAGCCTAAAGTACCAAGGCGACCTCGAGAAAGCCGGTGGAGTGACGGCCGAAGTGGTCCAGATCCTGGCACCCGTCGCCGATGCCGTCGAGGCTGCGAAGGCGCTCGGGGCCGGCAAGTATCTGCCCGATCTGCTGGGCAAGTTCGTCCCCAAAGCCGTTGAGGGCGGCCAGGTCTTGGAGGCCGCCAGCGCCGACGGAGGCAAAGCGGTGCGCATCTACAAGAAGGGACCCAAGGGCGATCCCGAGGTGTTCAAGACCACAAAAGATGAGAAGGTCGCGCTCGAAGACATCGAGAACAACGGCTTCCTCAACTGTGAAAAGATTGCCCGCGGCGCCAGGAAGAAGCGCCAGGGCAGCCTGCTGGGAGACCTGTCGGACCTGGACCTGAGCTGCGACTTCTCCACGTTCGCAGACAACGTCGACGAGGGTCGAGCGAACTACGACAGCGACTCAGGCTCCGACTCGGAGTCTGACTCCGACTGGGAGTACGAGCCGCCGGCCGCGATCCCGGCGCATGTCAAGGCCGAGGGCCTGACCGCCGAGGAGTCCACGCTCCTCGCGGACCTCAAGAGCAAGTGGGACGGCTCCCGTACGGGCGAGCGGTACATGCCCGACTTCGCCGACCCCGATCTGCAGTCCTTCCGCACTCGCATCGAGGCCACGACCGACGTCGCCGAGCGCAAGAAGGTCGTGCGCGACTTCGCCGCCAAGTACAAGCTCACGAGGTCCGAGATAGGCGCCTTCAAGGCATGGGCGGACCTCTACGAGATCCACGACAGCGCGCTGAAATCCGCGTCGGCCAAGATCCCGCCGTTTAAGGGGCTGGTGCGACGGACCGCCGCGCTGGACGATGCGACGATGACCATGCTCGCCGACTTCGAAAGTGGCATCATCAGCAAAGGAGACAAAGGGGTCTACGAGATTCGCGACCTGGTCTCCAATGTGCAGAGTCTGGGTCTGGGAAGCAGCGGTGAACCGCCTCGCAAGTTTCTGGCCTCGAGTGCGGGCCTGACTGAGAAGACGTGGTTTGGAGGAGACAAGATGTTTGTCATCCAGTCGGAGTCGGGCATGTACATTTCGCCGGGCGTCTTTGACGCCGACGAGCTGTATGAAGTTGATTTCCTTGACGGGGTGTCGGGCCGGATGAAGCTGTTGGGCTATGATGGCACGACGGAGAACGGTGTCACTACGCCAACAGTGTTCTACTTCCAGAACTTGCCTCCAGTCTCTTAAAGCTAAAGCAGGATTAGCAGAGCCCTTTTCTAATGAATCACGTCTTTTCCACCTTCATTGACCATTCTTAAGCATTTGGAGCACTAACTCGTCTTTCGGGGCTGTGAAAGGAATTCCCCAAGGCAGGACATCGTCATCTCAAGATACCACCAGATGAAACGGCGTTCACCTCGTGGTGACCAAATCGCCAGAGCCAATATCGGCTGCACTCATTAAAAAACGTAGCTCAAGGGGTTCAGTTCATCAAAGGGAAGTCCTAAAACGGCGGCGACTTTCCTGGGTATCGCACCTGGCCAAGCCTGCACCCGACAAGCTTCAAACAAACCTCCTAGTCGTCATAATAACCTTCATACTGACCATATTGAGCCTGGGTGCTGACCCATTCCTCGTCGGCTAATCCGCGCATCAAACGCCTCTGCAGACCCGACGCATCCTTGTGCCAATCACACGCATAGTCGCACTTGGGCATCTCGCTCTCTCCAAAATACTTGCAGATCTGCGCATGGCGACAGGCTGTCGTATCCTCGCAGTAAAGAGCGAGCCTCTGCAAGCTCTTTGCCTGAGCCTCCCAGTTCGATCCGTCACGGTTGCCTTTCCTAATCATACTCTGCACTCGCTGCAAATCTTCACGACTGTAGTATAGAAAGCAGAAACTGGCGTTGCCGTCGCGCCCCGCGCGGCCTGCCTCTTGGTAGTATCCTTCAAAAGACTTGGGGAGCCGCCAGTGAACGACGAAGCGGACATCATTCTTGTCGATACCCATACCGAAAGCTGTAGTAGCCACGATGATATCATAGCCAGGCTCATTCTTCACCCAGCGGGATAGGGTTTGTTCTTTAGTCTCTTTTGTCAGTTTCGCGTGGAAAGGCCTTGCCCCTACGCCTTCATCTCTCAGTGCTGCCGCTAGTGATTCGCACTCATCTCGCGATATGGTATAAATGATACCCGAGACGTTGTCCAGGCGCTCGCCATCGGCTTCAAGCTCCGACTTGCGCGGCTCTTCTTTCCTTCTCTTGTACACGCTACGTATCCACGCGAGAAAGTCAGAGAGGCGGTTGTCGTCTTGGTCCTTGGTGTATCTAATTTCAATGTGCAGATTCGGCCGGTATGCAGACATGACGAAGCTTTCAAGCCTCTCAGGCTGCTCCAAAAGACCGAGGGTCTTGAGCAGGTCCTCGCGAACCACTGGATTCGCCGTAGCCGTTAAACACATGATGGGCACCTTTGGGAACGTCTCACGAAACCATGACAGACGCTTGAAGTCTTTGCGGAAGTCGTGGCCCCATTCGGAGATGCAGTGGGCCTCGTCAACGGCGATGCGGGCCAACTCGCATTGCTCGTGGACCAGCTTGATGCGTCTCCTGAACGAGTCGCCAGAGCACAATTCTGGGGTCACGTACAACAACCTGATGCGGGGATGGCCGCTTGCTAGATCTTGGTTGATGCGGTCTCTCTCAGCAGGCGGCGTGTTGCTGTTGAGAGAGCTGGCGTCAATGCCCGCCGATCGCAGGGCTTCAACCTGATTCATCTGATGGAGCTGTCAGCTGTCGGGCCTGACTAAGGCTACATGGAAGATCCCTCACCATGAGACTGAGCAGTGGCGAAACGACAATGGTAACTGTGCCGCAACAGGAATCACGTTAGTTGACAACGTCCGCGAGTGCTCGGGGCAGTTTCGGGTACTTACTGCCGTGGTCAATGCAGGCAGGGAGTTGGAAGCAGAGACTCTTGCCAAACGACGTGGCCGCCTGGACGAAGACATCTTTGCCGGTGAGGGCCGTCGCGATGATTTCACGTTGCTGAGGCCTGTGGTGAGTTGTCAGCTCCATTGTCGGGCAAAAAGAGGACGCACGCGTGGACGTGAATGCAAAGACGAGGCAGAGGCATGTGCGGGCGTGAATATCTTCACCTGAAGGTCTCCTTTCCGAACTGGCGTCTGAGGGTATAGTCGATATCGACGCATGAGTTTGAGCGGGATAGGGGAGGCATGATGGTGGGTGGCTGGAGTTGATGAGGATGTCGTGACGGGACAGTGCCCAGGCCCGATGTGTCTCTTGGTTGGGCGAGCTTGGATAGACGGCGGTGGTACAGGGCTCAATAGCATAATGTTGCACTAGACCAAGAGGAGGCTCCGGTTGTAGTCATGATCGAGCTCGGGTCCGGAGGTGGTCCGTCTGACGTTGGGCTTTGGGGGCCTTGGAGAGCCGGCCTGGCCGAAAGCCCTCAGACGGGGAGCGGAGCAGATGCAGCACCAAGTGGGCTTGAACCCGGGGGAAAGGTGTCCGGCCAAGAAGAGTGAACGCGTGTCGCACAGGCACAGGCAATCGGAGGTTTCCAGTCGTTCGGATCGATGGGAGTCTGGGATATCTCGACAAGGTAAATCGGGATTGAAATGGCTGAGCAGCATCGAGTATTCAGAAAGATGGACAGAGACGTCAGGTAGTTGACCAGCATGGAGCACCTTCCATAGGTAGGCTGCCTACCTGGCCAATTGAATTATCCGATCTACCCAGTTTTAGGTAAGTCCACCTACCTCAGGCAGTACCTACCTTCACCGGAGCAGCAGCCTCAGGATGGACGCCCAACCTTCAGTGCACAGTTACATGCCTGTCTCGGTGAGGAGCATTTTCTCGAGGTGAGCAAAACAAAATCCAAGGTGAGGAGGGAAAGGGACGTTGAGACACACGGGTTCTTCCCGCACCATCCCTCTCCCACGGGGATGTGAAGGAGCGGAGGATTTGCTGAAAGGGTCGGGTGCACCCTGAATGCTCCGGAGGGGCAGGAGTTGAGGAGGAGCAAGCAACGGCTACAGCAAGGAGGTGCCAAGACATAATACGGAGGCGCCACGGTAAGAAGGGGATCGAGGAGCGTCGTGTTTGCACCATCAAATTCACAGGGAGAAAAAAAAAGAAGAAGAGACAAAAGAGAAACAAGCTCTAGTCCCAAGGCACGCTAGCGCAAACCAAACCAAGGCAAGGCAAGGCAAGCCGGGGACGGCGGGGAAGGGGGAAGCGCAGTAGCGGCGGCTGCAGTCTTTAGCCTCACAGCGGGCATGTATCAGTGGCAGCGGCCGCAACGGCCAAGCAGCAAGCAACATCACGGACTCTGCGTCTGCGTCTGCGCCTGCGTCTACATACTGTACCTACCTTCATTGCCTAAGGTGCCTGGGCTGCGTCTGCGCCCGATTCCACGTCTGCGGCACGCCTTGAAAGTGCCGTAGGCCCGTAAGCCCCTTGGAAAAACCGCCTTACAAAGCCACGCCCAAAAGAACCACCTCATCATTCCTCTGGCTGGGCTGGGCCGGGCTGCAGCGTTCGGGGCTGGCTTATTCCTGATTCACGCTCATGGCGCGATGGAAGGCGTGGTGGTCCCAAGGTGCGTACGGCATATGCCACAAGGTTAGTCGCGGGCGGTGATTCTGCGTGTCTGTGGGATTCTCCTTTTGTCTGGATCGGATGGAGCTGGAACAGACTTGGGGTTGGAGCCGGAGGAGGACGGCAGTTGGGTTGAAAAAAGAAAAAAGGTCGCAGAAGACTGAGCGCACTTCTGGACTCTGCCTGGTCCAAGGTAGAAATACATACGAGAAACGCGAAATCGCCTCACAGACGTATTATCTGACAGCCCGCCGGGACACGGCCCTGGATCTGCAGAGGCGAGCTGCTACATCTGCTGCCAAGGCGTTGAGGCCGTCGACAGTTGTGTCGGCATCACATCAATGAGACGATGGAACTTGACCGATGGGCCTATCTGCCCAAGATGCCTGCATGGCAAATAGTATCCGTACGGCAACCCTTCTTTTTGCCGTTTGGCGTCATCGCTTCCGTTCGTGGATGAGGTGCCGCGACTGATGCGAACTATCCAGAACTCTGTAACACCCTAGCAGCGAACTGGATGTGTTCGTTTCCATTGACTTTCTGCTAGCCTGCTGCGCCTCTCCTTTCAGAGTTCATCTCACCAGAGCCCAGGTTTGCCAGCTGCCAAGGATGCCACCGGGGACTGAGAGGCAGAAAATTGAAAATTGAAAATTCAGCGTCGTGTTGGGTCGTTGCGACATGGACGTAGCAAAAAGCAAGGCAGGGCGAGGCAAGGACGGGGAAACACCGAGCAAGAATTAAACGTGGAAAAGATGTTTAGCGTAGCAAATCTGTGTGCGAGGTTGAATGGAATGCAACGCTATCGACCATTTTTTGCAAACCTGGTGTGTTTCCTGGTAGCGTCTTTGTTTCTGTTTCTCCTCCTCCTGCTGCCCGCTGTAACCGTTGCCAGGCCTCTCCACTGCTTCTGGACTCTCGACACCCCCGGGTGGCCAGGCCCTGGCAAGCGTTCCGTTTGATCTGTCCCAGCCCAGGGCAGCCAGCAACAGGCCACTGCCGCGGCGCTTATCTCTCGATTGCGTCTTGGTTCCTATTCTTGCGATTGGGAGAGACAGATACCAGGTAAGGTGCTGAGTGAGGTGTCACGTAAGGCAAGACAAGGAGTGACACAGCAGCTGCAAGTACCATACCTTGCCTTGCCCTGCCTTGCCTTGCCTCACATTGGCTCTGCCTATGCTACTGCTGCTGCGGCTGCTGTTCCTTGACGTGACATCAACCCGCACCAACACGACGTGAACCACCAGCGCCAGCACCAACAGCAGACCGGTTCGTCGAGGACCGTGTGCGGCTGGGCTTGTTTTCTTTCCAGGTGGTGTGTGGCCCAAGTGTCGTGGTGTAGCCACCAGATGCCTTATTTCAAACGAGGAGGTGCTGTCACGAGCGCCGGCCTAAATTGAATATTTCGTTATGGAAGCTTCCACTGACTGCCGGGAGACTGCTCTGGAAGTTCGAAGGGTCTTGAGAGGTGTGCATCGATATTGACAGCGGTGTGTAACGGGAGGACTGGCGAGTGAGGATTGGGTGAGGTTGTTGAGATACCTACCTACCTTACTTGCTTACCTACCTTACTTGCTTACCTACCTTACCTAGGTACCGTAAGGTAGGTAGACAGTAGGTAGGAAATAA